GCCTTCCCTCTAGTCTTAAACTTCTAAATTAGGGACCGCTAATGCAGATAACCCTCGTGTAGCTTTGAGCGAAATTCATAACAAACAAACAAACCAAACCCAAGAGATGGGAAAGTTTTTTTATATTTAGAACTTTTGATGAAAAGTTTTCTCAGGTGAATATTACTGTCTTTTAAATTAACTTAAGGAGAAACTAAACTGCATTAAAAATTTAAAGTCTTGAATTAATAGTTAAACGGTAGCAAATATCTTAGTACAAAGATAAAACGTTTCGGAATAAACATTTAGACTGTCGATAATTATAATATAATTAAATTTCTAGTATAACAACTAGAATAATAGGCGAAAATCTAGTAACAATTAGCCATGTCTTTCATTTATTTTATTTAAATTCAATTTCTCGCCATTATTATTTTCAGTGTCTCACATAATGAGACATCTAAAAATAATAGTTGGTAATATATTGTACAAACCAGTTATTTAGTGTGAAAATCTAGGTCGGGCTGAAAAAGGTAGCAGATCTCTGTTGACGGAAGAGGGAGGTGGAGTGTTGGAAGATAACAATTTAAACGTTATATGGCTAGTGGAGAGTAATGTAGAGGACCATGCAGTTGACCGATACAGTACTGGAATCGTAGTTTATCATTCTTGATAAAAAAAAACAACCGAAAACAAGTCCTGGGTCTCACATCAGGATGAATCCAGTAAATAGCAAGAACTGATTTTCGGTAATTTAGGGTTAATCGTTGTCTCTGTATAAAGACTGCTTGATAGTTTTCTCATACAGTATACAAATAAATGAAAACCGGCTTACTATAATTCATTGTTTATTTGTTTGCGATAAGTTTTTAAATATAAATATATACACAGTTTATAATAATAATACAACAAACAAACGTTTCTCGTTTCAGCGTATTTAAAATTTTGCACAAAACCCAGGTTATAACTGGTTTACATCTAAAAAGATTTCGTTCTGACTCCTTCAGCGATTATTGCTGTGCTGAGCGAGTCCCAAAGTGGCTCTCTGTTGTCAGATTTTGTTTCGACACGTTTAATCCTGGTCGATGTAAAGTATATGCACACAAGAACCAGCTGACAAAGAAAAAAAAACAACAACCATCAAAACATATAATGTTGCAGTTTTTTAAAATATTATTACTACATTAGAAAATTACTTTTATGTAATTTATTTTTGTTAAACATTTTGTTGGTTTATTTAATAAAAATATATTTTTAAATCCTCGTCGTTTTGCTTGTTTGCAATTAAGCACAAAGACACACAATGAACTATCTGTGCTCTGCCCACCACGGGTATCGAAACCCGTTTTCTAGTGTTGTTAAGTCCGAAGATATACCGCTGTGCCACTGGGAACGTCATACTTTAAAGTCAGAATTTGCCGAAAAATCAAAATTTGATATACATTAAATGGATTACATCATTTTCAATGAGGCTATGAAATTGACAAATTAAGTACAGAAGTAATTGTTCCACAGAATTAATTAATAGAGATATGGTGAAAATATATCAATTAATCATTCTCATCTGCGTGAACAGTTATTATTGTGATGGTTATCTAATTCTATTATTTTGATTTATTTGAAGTGTTTGGGTTTTTGACCAATAGAAAGTGCCCTAAGAATGAACCGTCGGAACCATTAGCTGTACATTTGTAATCTGGGAACTTCTCAGAGACTGAACAGTTTAGTTTCCACTCTGTGGTCATGGTAAGGAACAATATGAAGTATTAATAACTTTCCACTAATTTCAGTTAAAGGAAGATTGATTCAACAGTTTCAAACAGGTCCAATAAAATAAATGTAATAATATAATATCAAATTAAAAATACAGTACATTTTCATTACTTGAAAAACAACATGCAGGTTATTGAAAGTTGTACACGTTATCTGTCCCAGGGAAACGTTTTCAGATTACATTAAAAATACAGTATATTTTCATTACTTGAAAAACAACATGCAGGTTATTGAAAGTTGTACTCGTTATCTGTCCCAGGGAAACGTTTTCAGATTACATTAAAAATACAGTATATTTTCATTACTTTAAAAACAACATGCAGGTTATTGAAAGTTGTAGACGTTATCTGTTCCAGGGAAACGTTTTCAGATTACATTAAAAATACAGTATGTTTTCATTACTTTCA